TCTCCCAACTACTCCCAGTTTGGATTCCGGCGGGGATTCCTGACCCAACAATGGGCTACGAGACACACACCTATTGCTTGCGGATGACTGTGCACTAAGCACTACAACGGAAGAGGGCATGCAACAGAGTACGAATCTATTCACCTTCGGCAGCTCCAACTTCGGCCTGACCACTAGAAAAGAGAAGGCAGTGGTCCTGCACCCACCACAAGGCTTACTACAGCAGAGACCGTATCACAAGGTCATTGGAACTCTAATCACAGCAGTGAACAAATTTGCGTACTTTGGATATAAGCCATCAAGAAAACGCATAATTAACAGCGGAATCAAAAGTTGGATCGCCAAAGCTCGTCAAGCCTTCGTGCAGCCAAAGCAATCCCCTCTGGAATCTTTGCGGTAGCTTACTCAACACAAAAGCGAGAATGTTAAGAATTCCTGTCTTTTAACCCTATTGTAGGGGAGGGCGGATATGTGAAGCGTTTTCTGGGATCAAGCAAGAAAACCGACCCATTTTTATCTCAGCCGCCCCTAGATAATGTTGAAGGTGAAGTAGCAAAAAGGGATCTCAGCTGCTGACATCTTAAAAAGAGCCGGCATGCTTGGTATCTACGCCATGCTCAGATAGATATAACTGCGGCAAAACGGCTGAGACGTATGTCTTGGAGGACGAGCGCCTGCCCCGGCAGCCATCCCATGCAAAGCGTAGCGCCCCTACACCTTGAAAACTCCTCTTGAGCACCTGCAAATTAACCTGGACACTCAGGATGACCTCGATCTAGATCGCCAAACTTAGTAAACGACCGTAAAGACGGGAGCATGCATACCCGAAGTTACCAGAATTGCCGCTGTCGAAACAAGGAAAGGAACTTGAAATGCACAACTTTACGGACTAATGACCGGCGAATCAGTGCCTGTAGGTCCGGTAGACGCCCGTCACACACGCCTCGTCTATTTGCAATGTCTCAAAGGATATGCAAATCCATCAGGCCGAATGCAACATAATACTATCACGAATATGTCCGACAGGAGAGAACGGGGACCGAACCACAGTTACAAAAAGGTAGGTTCCTAGCATGTAGCCTCGATGGTAGTAATTGATGGTATTGGCGGCGCTGACAGCTGCAGGGTTTGAGTGGCCGTTCTGGCATTGCAGAGGACGCGGGTTCGAACCTCGGGTGGAGTACTAATTGGGGTGGGGTTTGACTGGCTGACGAAGGCTAATGAGTCAAAAATGGTCATTCCCGTCTCACTTTTCTCTCCCAGCAATCCTACAGTAGGTTACCTAACTCATGAAATCCAACGATTTTAACAAGCAATTCCCTCTTACTCAAACGCAGCCTAAGCTGCGGCCTCCAAAGTTCTTCAGCAATAAAGTAATAGTCGTGCCTCACAAGGGGGCATATTGCGATTTATAAAGGAGTATAAATCTTTATAGAAATACCTGTTTTTTAGAAAAACAGAAAATTCCGAAAAAGTGCAAATCGGGCGTACTAGGTAAACTTAAGTTTTCCATGTAGAGGAAGCCTGTTCATGCAAAACCACCGAGCAAATAAAGCAGCATAAGTACAATTACGTTTGAAAATGATCTTTTTGTAAAAGTTTCGGATACATATGCTTCCATATTATGTGCAATGTAATATATGGCTGTTACCGAACAGCCCAAATTTTGAGTATGTATTCCAACACGTTTTCACGAGAATTACTAGTTTTTCCTTTCGTTTATGCATTGCTTGAGTTACGTTGGACAAAAGCAACCACATTTTCGCTTGATTTGGCCCATTGGGAGATCACAGGAACAATATATTTCTTATGCTCACGTGCGGACATGCCGGTCAGTGACCAATAAATGGAATTGTCAGGTGCAATTGTAAACGTACCACTTTTTTCTACACTTAGAGTAATGTCCTTCCGCCACATTCCTTTGTAATTATTTTGGGAGTTCGATTACCAAGAGGTTCAGGTATCCTTGAAGTTCTAATGAAGACTTCACGATTTTCACTGGCGTCAGTCGATTGACCATAAATAATGATTATATTCTACGCTTTTACCAAAATCTTCAAAATAAGATAAATCTTAAAAGCATTTACCTAAATAACGAGCTTTTAAACATT